CTGATTATCATGTAGTTACAGTTTGATGTGATGAAGTGAATGTTTAAAAGTGATTATTCACAGGGCAGTTACCCGTTACATTACCATATTATCATGTAATTTACAATGTGTATCAAAATTCCAATTCCTTTATAGTGTTTTCTGTTTGTTTGCTTAACTTTCTTATTTCATTTCAATTTAAAATCAAATGCCGCCAGTACGTAGTGAAAATGTGCAACTACATAATATGTAAGAACTGTGAGTGGCTGGAGGGAACGCGAACATGACCGCTTGCATCAACCTCTAAATTGAACATTTGATGAGTACATAGTGGTAGTACCACCGTTGTGATAGTCCAATCTCGGACAAATGAATGTGAAATGTTTACATTGTAGTGGCTTACATATTGTTAAGCAAGAAAAGACTGGCCGAGACAGTTAAGTTTTTACTCTTTGTTGCCATAAATGAAAGGTTCGTTTACCTCATTTGTGCAATTCACCATACCTTCAGGTTCTTATTGGAAACTCCCAATCTGAAATAGGACTGTGAGACTTATATCCAGAAATTATTTGGATAAAGTTCGTCAATTAAATTCTGCCTTTACCATGGTCAGCTCCGAAGCTCATTAAGATGAGAAAGTTCCACAGGGGATCTAATATTAAGATCCGTGACACGTTTTACCACCGAGTGGGTCCTCTAATTCCTCAAGAAGGTGATGATCCTAAATACGCAGATATAGTAAGTTGTACAATACTTACAATATTGTAAGTACGACAATGTCACTAGAACCCAAATGAGAACTAAGTACAATTAAAAAAAGAGCAATAAAAAATATGTGGGAAATAGGGTCACAATGCCAACCCATTTGCAAATCTTTGAAGACTGTGGCAGACATTACGTAGGGACGAGAGCTCCGAGGAGTCAAGTGAGATTCTTATGTAGACAATAAGAGACGGAAGAAGTGCCTTCCCTCGCTACAATGGTGCTACCTGTGTAGATGTCGCAGCAATTTTTAAAGCTGAAAACAAAGCACTACCTGGCCAAATAAGTCATATAGTTTTTTCCAACACTAATCTTCTATATATTAATACGCAAGCAGTTTTCTTTTCACAGTCATAACTCGAAAACGGCTGAACGGATTTAATCGTTTGAGGTGTCAAATCAAAGGTATTTTCACGTAGATGTGCAAATACGTCTCATGATAAGGGCATAACTTGATTACAGTTAAGGACCAAACATTTGGAACAGTGGCGCTATCGGTCGGCATTGAATCAAACTCAATTCACTTTGTTTACAACTAAACATATGGACATAAGTTTGAAAGTTCTTTAAGTTTAACCATTCATCAACTACGACGATTTTGATGAAATAAAGCTCGCTACAAATTTAACATGGGGATGGAATGTCTTACTTTATGCTTTATACTTTTCAATGAAATGGCGACCATACAAAGTAGGTATTCCAGTTGTATTGATAGTCAAAGGTTTAACCAAAGACTGCAGGACTTTACTTCCAGAGCAAAGCCAGACTTTATATTTTTATTTTGACACCAGGGGCCCATTTCATAATAAACTACAAGTTACAAGTTACAACTTGTAACTTGTAATTTCCATAAGATTTGCATTGGGTGATCAGCTGATTTACTAATAACATTAGTTCGTACTTTATTATGAAATGGGCCCCTGTTTACTAAGTCCGGTTGGTAAATGATGAATTTCCTAGCAAGACTTGACAACAAATTATTTTTACTGTAATAGTTGGATTTATTTACCTTACATTGTATTTTAACAAACTACATGTCGTTTTGGTTACAGTTTGGTATGATGAAGTGCATGTTTAAAAGGGCTGCTGCCTTACCATTTATCACGTAATTAACAACGTGTATCAAAATTTATTTGAAGTTTTGTTTTCTGTTCTTTGGTTAACTTTCATATTTTATTGACATTTAAAATTAAATGGCACCTATAAGGTATAAGGTGAAGAAAGACTGCGAGTGGCTGGTGCAGTTTTGCTCGAAATCGAGCAACAGGTTATCTAGTATAAGTTGATGTGAAAGGTCTAAATTTTCTAACGAATTTAGTTAAAAAGATATCAAGCCGTTTCCAAACTTTTTTGTCACCCTGTATATAGTTAGGCATTTACCGTAAAATTTGTAAATATATGCTTGACATAATTTTTTTAACTTTATTTCCAAAGTTAACCATTGCACTCATAACAGTGGTCTAAAAGTAGATTATGTTAAATCAATGTTTACTTTGTAGTAAGCTTATAGAGTGAACGTAACAATCTCAAGTAGCGGCTCCAATGGTTTAACCACCCAACAATCCGGGACTACGCTCTACTTTCGTTTCTCGTTCGATTACAAGAGAACGGATTTCCATACCTTGATTGTCTCTTTGGTCGAGTGCCTCTACTCGGACAAGGTCTGTCTCTAGACACTTCTACTTAGACAACTACCACTTACTAATTGGTTAGTTTTGAAAAGTAGAAATGATTTTATTGATAACGATAATGAACAGATCACCTTCACAAATTGACGTTTTCACTCGTAGATTATCGTTAGGCAATATTAGAATATATAACCATACTGCAGTTATATTATCCAGGAATCTTCAGGTTATGTTATATCCGTAGTACCTTTTCGCACAGTAATCAAGTTGATCAGCTGTTGTAGGCTGTCCAGTGTCCAGACAGTGAAAGTAGTGCGGAACTGGTCAAATGCAGTCTGCTCCAGTTTCTGCCTATTCGATATACCTCACCTTTACTCTGTTATTTTCAGTGGACGTGAATAGATGGCAATTCCACTTACCTTTCAGTAGATTGGTAATTCTTTTCACTTGCGTTTAAAACCAGTACAACACATTCTGTATTGCTATCAAATCTTGCCTACCTGATATGTACTGGCTTGGGCTTAACCTGTCATTGGATTGGTAATTCTTTTCACTTGCGTTTAAAACCGGTACAACACATTCTGTATTGCTATCAAAGCTTGCCTACCTGATATGTACTGGCTTGGGCTTAACCTGTCATTGGATTGGTAATTCTTTTCACTTGCGTTTAAAACCAGTACAACACATTCTGTATTGCTATCAAAGCTTGCCTACCTGATATGTACTGGCTTGGGCTTAACCTGTCATTGGATTGGTAATTCTTTTCACTTGCGTTTAAAACCGGTACAACACATTCTGTATTGCTATCAAAGCTTCCCTACCTGACTGACATGTATCTGGCGCAATGAAGTGCTCTATAGATGAAGTATTTCACATTATTTTTCCTTTTCAGTAGCTGGTTTCGTAAATGACTGTTCTATGTCACTTATCTTCTGCTATCTTTTCAGGCTACATTTAAAGTATTCCGTATAAAAGTGAGCTACTATACCTCAACGTGATGTTACAAGCAACGATGTAAAGAACTAACTGAGTTGTTTATATCGTTGGTCAAGATAAGCTCATTCCCCTGATTTGAGATGTTTTAAAATTTAGTTGGAAACATGACCTTACTTGCATACTCTGGCAAGAACTTCCATACTCTATTCCATTTCTATACTCTACAGCTCTCTCTGCAAGGACTTTACAGTTTGAATCATTTTCTTCACCAGTACCGGGAGTGGCGGTAGCAAAAAGTTAGGCTATCTCATATTTTTGATCACGTTCCCAAAATTGACGACCCAAATGTACTTCTGGAATTAATTTTACAAAAAATAGGCAACACCTTACAGTAAATCAAACAACTTACTCCACATTAGCTAACGTCACAATACTGTACAAGCTTCTGCATAGCCTACTTTATCAAAATTAGCCCGATGCAATAAACAAAGTTACAGGACTCTTGGTACTTCTACTCAAACATTATATCATGATACATTGAAAGTCATATTGGGTATTAAAAGTGTAAATGTTCTCAGAATTAGTGAAAGATAAATGGGAGATAGCGAGCGTACTAAGTACTATTAGTAAGTACTATTACTTAGTACTTATTACTACTACTTAGTATTACTATACTATTACTTAGTACTAGTACTATTACTTTTATGAAATAACGATCAGCTGTTTGGATTAGTTCTCACTTCTAGCTGTCACTGATATGTTTACATTAATAGCTATTTACATTACAAGTGTATTAAGAGCGTTTTTACATCACGCAGGTGAATGTTGTGCAACGAGCGGAAGCGAGTTGCATAATTCACCTAAGAGATGTAAACACGCTCTTGCGCAACGTGTAACGTACAAGATTTTACCTGACCCGACAATATACATACATGGGTTTACGTACAATATTTTTCATTATCCATTTCACTCATCGTCTACTAACAGTAACGTTCTTTTACAAACAAAAGCTAGGTTAATGAAAATACTTTAAAGCATAACAATAACATTCAAGCGCACAGCTGATTTCTAGCGTTGAACGTCGATGCCTCCATAGAGGTATATTTTTTAAAGTTAAGCACTCAATGTTATTTAAATGGGTTTCATTACATCACCGAGTGAGTTTTTTCAACTTTACATCACTCGAGAAGTAAGGAAGTTGTATACATCACGCTTGGGGTAGGGAAGTTTAACATGGCGGGTTAGGTAAAAGTTGTTTACAAATACATCAAGTTTTGTTAGCACATCCAAACCAAGTGAAAATTATAAAATAGAATTTTAGGCATTTATAATTTTGTTTTATAAACAAAACTACCTATTTTTTAGATTTGTAAACCTTCATTCGATTTTTTCATTATCAGCACGTTTAGTTAGTTTGGTATTGGGTTATGACAGTTAATTTTAATAATTAAAAAATTATAAAATTAACTGTTTCTTCAGACGCTGTATATATAACATCCTGTATATATGCTGAGTGGGTTTAAATTACTGGTTTTAAATTTCCAGTTGTTTTCTAATCTTAATATTTTTATTAAAATGCTTAGTAATAATTCAAACACATGTTTATTAATTCCCATAAGAGAATGTAAACAAGAGTGAATAGTTTGGTGTTGAAGGAATTGTTGTTACTTAATTGATGCTTACAACAACATGGCTCAGGATTTGTTTGTATTTTCAAAGAGTTTCCAGGAAAGTTTGGACGATTATAACTGTATTTTAACTAGTGATTTGAAAACAGAAGATGTGAAAAGGGAATCCCAGCCTGCCTTTTACGAAAATTGTCAGTGAACGATCGCCTATTCCAGAAGCCATATCATTCCATGCCATGGCGAAAGCACTGGACATTGAGACTTTGCCCCTAGAAGTTATAGAGGCACTTGTTTCTTTTCTCTCGTCAAAAGATTTATCCAATTGCATAGGCGTTAGTAAAACATGGTACAGTATTTTTAGTGATGATTTATTTTGGAAAAGACATTGTATAGCTAGTTAAAATTCCTATTTTTCAAAAAATAAGTGCCTTGTTGAACCTGTGTCCCAACTAACAACAAACAACACGGTTTTGCCCATTGAAAAAAACCGCCTCTCATTCTTACAAGAACAGCACTTATTGAACAATTGGAGATGTGGGCGCTTCAGGAAGGAAGTAATTGGAAGTGGTTTAACCCGTGATGTGATTGGCTTTGACTTTACTTATACTGAAATATCATTTTTGGACGATGACCATATACTTGAAAAGGAACATGTCTATGATAAAGGTCTAACATATGAGACTAGAGTTTGGAATGTAGCTGAGACTCCAGTCCTAGTATTGACTATACCCCACTGTTTGAGTGAACGTTTTGATGCTGACACTTATCAAATAGTCAATAGCAATCTGATAGTTGTCATCCAATGTAATTTAGTACAAGTTTACGAAATCAGCTTGGATTCTAAAAACTGTGTTCTGAATCATCTCTTCTTTTTTGATAAACCGGAGGAATTCTCTCGTAGTTTAACAGCTGATAGCGATATTGAAAGTATCGTGGTCTCATCAATTAATGACTTTCCAGAGTTTCAGTTTCTTTGTCAGTTTGTTTTTAGTGGGCAATATATGATTGGAACCTATAAACATGGGGAATCTGCTCTATTACACATTTGGGACGTCAAGACGGGGAAAAAGGTTAAAGAAGACAGATACGAAATCGGACCAATACAAGATATAACTTTAGAATCTACTCAGCAAGTCACTGATAAGGTCCTCGTAACCTACCATTTAAAACATGTCACTAACATAGGAAATGATGTTGGAAAGAGTACCTCAATTATTTATGATATTTCACGGTTACAGTTTATCCTGCCTAGTCGGTTTGTTCACAATGGATATGTGTTGTATTTTGATGGCCATTTGAGTGTCATACAAACCGCTAGCACACCCCTCAAGATAGTATATCATCATGATGCAATGAACCAGAGTAAAACCATGACTGGTATAGAAACATGTCCTACAACCAATGTTCATCCCCTAGGCAGTAACCTATTGATATCTACCGAGCAACAAATATACCTTGTAAATCCTGTCAATTTAGTAACCCGTAACCTAATGAGGGCCGATTTTCCACTTTTGTATACTGTGTTGGCTGGAAGATTTATCTTGTTGCATGGGTATTTATACTTACTGATGGGGACATGCTTTCAAGAGGTATGGGAGATTGGCGAAACAGAATGCAGAAAAGTTTGGAAATATCCAAAGACAGAACGTTGTATAGCCAGGATGTCAAATAGTGTCTGTTCTAAAGTTCTTTTGGAGCATGAGAACGGAACATTTATTGTATTGAATTTCTGGTAGAAAGTAGGAATGATTGTTGTTACCCTAAAATAGTGTTATTACCTACTCTCACTGAGTTAGTGGATTGACATTAAGTCAAAACATTAAGTTTTGGCAGTTAAACACTACAAAAGGTTTGATCTCACCTATTTCCCTATTTCCACCCCCAGCTTTGTAATGGGCGTAATAGTTTTTTGTACGAAATAAAGCGATAAGTACTGAAAAACTTGATTCTGAGAAACTCCCTAAGATTAAGATATTCACCAACATGAGCATTTCTAAATATTCCATTTGGAAATTGACTGGAAGGTGATTTTAAAAAGGTTATAAAATAAAACTCCATTTTGTTGATGGATTAACAGAGTTTTATTGATTTATAAATACAATAACAACTTAACTTATATGTACAAACACAAACATTAAAGCTGACATCGGGGCTTTGTTATGACATTTAAACTTGTAATACCTAAAATCGCCTCAGAAATTGAAGCCCTATATTATCCTGTATTAATATACAAACTAAAAAAAAGAAAAATAAATCAGCTCAACCAGTCTACTAGTAATTTACTTATATTATTATCACAAAGAGAGCATATAGTCTATTAGAACAGTAAAAAAAATGATTTTACTATAAAATTAACTTTTTTTTCATAAATAATTAACTTTTGTTTACCTATTGTCACTTTAAAAAAATTTTATCATTTGCAAAAAAATATTTGATTAGTAATTTGTTTTTAACTATTTTTTTAATACTTGTTTTGATTCAAGTTTGGAAACTATAAAATTCTCCAGAAATAAAAAAGTTTAATGCATACCGTACTACAAGACATACATTAAAGTAATTTCTTAATCACCCAAGCTAGTAATAGTTACAAAAGCTATTTTAAAGTAAATATATACACGAAGAGACAAAATATTTCTAACCTAGTTTTTACAGTATTTACAAAGGCACCATAAATCATTCAAATAACATCACTATTGTAGTGGAAATAACACAGTACAATAAATCAAGAATTTGTAATCAATAGTTCATGGTTTGTAGCACGTTGTTTTGAAATCGACAAAATCACTTGGTGCTAGTCTATTACAATCTATGTTAACCAAACAAATGCATTAGACCTTAAATCTAACACAACTGTTGTCAATAACAATATTATCATCTAAAGGATAGTAGCAACCCCTATGTAAATTCAACGTCACTTCACTTAGGCATAAGTCTAGGACCGTCTGTTATAGGAGTCCATTCAGCATTTGTACCCTCTGGAACTACCATAGTGTTAGCAGAAGCACTAGTCTTGAAGAAGTCAATAATGGGATGGTAGCTATAGTTGACTCTCTTGGAGGACCCCACAGTCACAGTCTGGGGTGTGGTGGAGATGACTCTCCTAGTAGTCATGGAAGGTGTGACTGAGGAAGGGTAAGTAGGCACTCTCTTGGCTGGTGTCTGATATGTCCTAGGGGGAGGCTGATAGTCGGGGGCTGAAGTGACGAAGGAGAAAGTGTCGTCTGCTAATAGACTGTCTATTGGCAACTCTGGATGTCTTTGGTTCAGAGTTGGCTGGACTGGGTGGTACTTTGGCCTGAAATTTCAAATACGGAATATATAACTGTTATCATTTTCATTGATTAGTATAGTGTTTGATTATTAGAATTTGAGGTGCATTCAAAAAAGAGGAGGTAAAAATGCTTTCACACATACAGGTTGCTAGTCTGTAGTGAATTGATCTCAGTCTGAGGTACTATAGAAACTTATAGATAGATATGAAACTTAGTACCAGCTTCGACATCCTCCATTTGCATTTTTCCAAGTACATCTATAACAATATAGACAATTGTGTAAAGGCAGATTCAATTATTATCAATTTCAATTAATTGATCTATCAATTAATTAACAGTGCAGTTTCTAGAATTTGCAGTAATCTAACATAATATAGCTGGAGAATTAATTCCACTATCACACCCTACTATCCTTTTAATTCTCTATTATCTATTATCTATTGCATGTGTATACTTTTCACCTAGCCAAACCAAAAGGACAACTTATTATCAATTATCATTTTATTTTGATGGGGACGCTACCTAGGTGTGTATTTTAATCCAAATATGAGTGAAGAATGAGTGTAAGAATGGTGTGAGATGATCTGAGTAGCTTTGTTACTAAATTTAAGCATAAAATTGCATATTTTATGTCTCAAGAATTGTCACAGTAACAAAAACTAATATATAACGAATATAAAGAAGAATATGGAGTTTTAGACTGCAGTCCAATCTGTGTGTACCGATAGCTCATTTGACTAAGTTTTTTTAAACAAAAAATTGGCTACTGCTTGAAAATATAGGTTAAGTGTCTAGATAGTGTCAAATTATGGAATTAACATGTTGTACCTGATCTCGTTTATCTCTGTGTTGTTCCTAGAGATTGTCCTTCGCAGAAGATTCTCGTAAGGAGGATGAGCCACCGGGTATCTCACGTTGTCACTGGGCGACTCTACGTGTACCTGGGGCGGTTGTAGCCTGGGTGGCTGTAGTCTGGGCGGCAGCGACTCTCTCTTAGGAATGTTGTGTAGACCTGCCACTGGTCTTCTGTTGAAGATCTGAAGGAACATAATGTTAGATCACTTTAGTTTACTTTGAAGTCTGTGATAGTTTTAAATACCCCTGCCGCAGCAATCCTGCAGTCTAAGCGAATTTCCATTTGCCTGATTGGATTCAAACTAAAATGTCTCCTTACAAATATCACATTAATTCCCTATTGAAACAGAATTAGTTTAATGAGTACTTAGATTTGCTGCAACAGGGAGGGCAAAAAAGTTTTTTAAATGTAAAATGTTAAAAGGTACTGTGGTTTGGTAAGAAATTGATGTATTTTCCAAATTTGATCAAAATATGTTCATAAACAAGCAAACTACAACAGTTGACTTATCCTACTAATATTATAAATGAGAAAGTTTGGATGTATGGATGTATGGATGTATGTTTGTGACAAGTGAACGCGAAAAATACTGGTCGGATTGGGCTGAAATTTGGCATGATGATAGCTCACATTCCCGTTTAACATATAGGCATATTCTTATTTCAAAAACCTTTTGGGCTCCGCCCCAGTGGCTCTGGAGTTTCCCATATTAACCTTATGAGAAATGGAATTATTGAATCTTAACAGCTGTTTCAATTAAACAAGTTGGTTCTGTTCTATGATGTTCAATAGCATTAAAGTTACAATGATTACCAACAGGGTGCAGCACTATTATTTCCTTTTCATTTATGACAACAGCTAATTTGCAACCAAAAGGTGAGTGAGCGTAGCGAACGAACTTCAACCTGGAGGCGAGTTAGCGTAGCGAACGAGCTAACCTGAAGGCAAGTGAGCGCAGCGAACGAGCTCCAACCTAAAGGTGAGTGAGCGTAGCGAACAAACTTCAACCAGGACGTGATTGAGCCATGCGAACGAGATAATCTTGAAAATTAAGAAGTTAAACGGGGCAAAGCCCGCGGGTTACAGCTAGTTCTCCATAAGAATAACATGAGAATTTTAAAATTACAATTTTTGTTTAATTTTATCTGTAACAATTAGGCGCATAATAACGCTTCAATATACTAAATTATTTGTTTTTTTAAGCTCTACAAAATGGTTTAAAAAGAAATTGTGAAATTTTGTGTTTTGGGGGTCAAAAATGGGAAAAACCTATTTTTACCCCATAGAACCCCCCATAAACCCCCGTTCCCATAGTCCGATCATGCTGGTTCGGGAACGCATTCAAGTTTATCCTGTCTTACACCTTCAAACCAAATTTTATCAAAATCGGACAAAAATTACTTAAGTTATCGTGCGGATGGACACACACACACATATATATATATAGATATATAAAAATTTGAACGAATGGTGTTTTTGGCCTCTGGGGACATCAAAATGAAAAAGTAAATCGGTCCCGGGCCTAGGTCTTACCATGAGACCTACGGTAATAGCTACTTCCCTATAGGAAAATTCGCTAAAAGGAAGAAATCTACAGATCCCTTATAAAAACATGCTTTTACAAAATTGCATTCAAAAACACTCGCTAGGTCTACACCAATTGAGATTTGAGATCACGTCAATGGGTTTTGAAATGGGTCCTGTGATTCAGAGGTAATTTTTCAACCATAATAATACATCAAAGTTAATTCATATTGGGAGCGCTAGTGCTATGAGAAATATACCTGACTTCTTCCATACTTGCAACATAAGCTCCTAATGACAGAGTTTGATGATGAGCTTCCTCTTGAAGTAGTTTCAAAGCAATTATATTTACTTATTTTAAGTTGAGACAAGTTTGTTCTACCACTGTGTTCAAAGAAAATAATAATATAAGTGACCACAAAATAGACTAAAACTTATTACAAATTGGGGGTTTAAACATTGTTTTTCTATAACATTTTCAAACAGAAGATTTACCTGTTTGGGAGGTGGTAGTCTATGAACTGCATGAGTGTCCTCAGCAGCTACAAAGTTAGTCTCAGGAGCTTCTACATAGTTGACCCTGGGAGGTAGTGGAGGGAGAGAGGTGGCAGGGTGTCTCTGGGACTCTGCCCCACTGGCCTCAGGTCTCTGGAAGGGATGTGCTAGACCACTGATGTGACAAGAGCAGCAGGTAGGCACCTAGAGCATTGTTAGATGTTACACTCAGGAACTTCTGCATAGTTGACTCTGGGAGGTAGTGGAGGGAGAAAGGTGGCAGGGTGTCTCTGGGACTCTGCCCCACTGGCCTCAGGTCTCTGGAAGGGATGTGCTAGACCACTGATGTGACAAGAGCAGCAGGTAGGCACCTAGAGCATTGTTAGATGTTACACTCAGGAACTTCTGCATAGTTGACTCTGGGAGGTAGTGGAGGGAGAGAGGTGGCAGGGTGTCTCTGGGACTCTGCCCCACTGGCCTCAGGTCTCTGGAAGGGATGTGCTAGACCACTGATGTGACAAGAGCAGCAGGTAGGCACCTAGAGCATTGTTAGATGTTACACTCAGGAACTTCTGCATAGTTGACTCTGGGAGGTAGTGGAGGGAGAAAGGTGGCAGGGTGTCTCTGGGACTCTGCCCCACTGGCCTCAGGTCTCTGGAAGGGATGTGCTAGACCACTGATGTGACAAGAGCAGCAGGTAGGCACCTAGAGCATTGTTAGATGTTACACTCAGGAACTTCTGCATAGTTGACTCTGGGAGGTAGTGGAGGGAGAGAGGTGGCAGGGTGTCTCTGGGACTCTGCCCCACTGGCCTCAGGTCTCTGGAAGGGATGTGCTAGACCACTGATGTGACAAGAGCAGCAGGTAGGCACCTAGAGCATTGTTAGATGTTACACTCAGGAACTTCTGCATAGTTGACTCTGGGAGGTAGTGGAGGGAGAGAGGTGGCAGGGTGTCTCTGGGACTCTGCCCCACTGGCCTCAGGTCTCTGGAAGGGATGTGCTAGACCACTGATGTGACAAGAGCAGCAGGTAGGCACCTAGAGCATTGTTAGATGTTACACTCAGGAACTTCTGCATAGTTGACTCTGGGAGGTAGTGGAGGGAGAAAGGTGGCAGGGTGTCTCTGGGACTCTGTCCCACTGGCCTCAGGTCTCTGGAAGGGATGTGCTAGACTACTGATGTGACAAGAGCAGCAGGTAGGCACCTAGGTTATTGTCATAGGTAAGCTTGCTTTAAAAAAAAAGCTTAAAATCTAATTCTTTTGCTACGTGTTGGTACATCAACATTTTAAACCGTGTTTGTACTTTGCAGAGTAGCAATCATCTTAAGAATTTTTAGAAATGTCTAGGTACCTTGAAAATATCCATAGTGAGGCCAGACTTGTGGTCCCATGTGAGGAGGCGGTGGTAGTTGTAAACCTGTGTACACTCTGACTTGAAGTTATCTGGTAAGTATGAGCATGCCTGTTGAGGTTTCCTGAAAGAAACCCACCTTTTAAATTGTTTATGAAAAGACTTAGGATTATTATTTGCTACATAGCAAAGCTTTGTTGATAAGTTTCTTTTCTTTCTTTCCTTGGGAAAAATATGTATCTGCCATAATCTTGTAGCTTCCCTAACAAAGTTGAAAATATATTTAGCAACACTTAATTGTTATATATCATAATTGGTTCACTTCCATTTGAATTTGTTGCTAGTTCCCCCCTTAAAGAGTGAAACAATTTGAATGTGAAATAGAATATAAATCAAATTTTCTCCTTAGGGTAGTTTGTAAACATTATATTGTGATTTTAAAAGCCAAAACATACACTCTTAGCCTTCAACCATACTGTAGTTGTACATTGTGACCATCAAAGTATATAAAACAACTGGAACACCGGGTAGATAGGAGATTCGGAATAAAAAGCGCGCCGTTTCAGCAGCCTACCCCCACCACAAAGGGGGACTCGACGCAGATATGTCAGTTTCTCAAGCCGTGCACGCGGTTGTTAATACGCTCCTGACCGTGCATACAATAGGTTGACTGCAATTAAAGTTATATATTCGGAATCTGCATTAACTGCAGAATCTTACAGTGTAAATATAATCTTATTTAAATCGTAATTAGAATTTTAACAATTAAAAATGTTAAACAAATATCACACCTTGACATGAAAAAGTTACTAAGGGAGGATTTTTTTTATTTTTTGGTCAGAAGCAAACTTGAAGCGACAAAATTGTAGCTAATGAGATGATCTTCAGCATATAACCAAGCAATTTCAAATAAAATTTTCTAGTCGTGTCTAATGGAGTAATTAGTAACGCAAAGAGGTTCTTTATAAATCGCGCCGCGGGCCGTCCTCCCTGGTTCCACTGATCTTTTCGTTTACATTACTCCCAGAAACGTTTTGAGCACCATACAACCAATAGTTATATTAAATACATTTTTATTACAGGTTACACATAAATAAATACTGTATTATCACCTTCTAGGTAAACTATTTACATACAATGTTACTGTAAATTAAAATATACAATGCAGACTATATATACAGGGACAGGGACTGGTAATCCCCCTTTGTTTAGTTGTAACCATCGATGTATATAACCTAACTGGATCGCGCTCGGCTGGTAAACGAAAACGGTCCGCCGCCGCCGCGCCGCTCCCCCCACCACAAGTGGGCAACCGCAGTGGGCAATAGCATTGAAGTAGCATTGTGACCACCGACACATTGCACTTTTTTTCTTCCTTATTGTCACCTAAATGAATTTCTCTTTTCGTGTATGGTATTGTATGTAATTTTTTCTTACATTATCTAAACTATAATATAGGGACCCGGAACACATATTTAAAATTGAACTTTCTTGTTCGTAGCCTTGGATTTATAACACAGTTTTGATGGTATGTATATGCATCGATATGGATTATTTTATTCAGTCAGTTGGGTTATATAGTACATCAGTTGACGTTAAATTATATTATATAACATTAATTGTTCACTCTCACAGTAGTGAGAAAAACTTCAGTAGGCCTACCGGTATTGAATTCCCAATTGTAGAATAATCAAAGAAAATAAAATTTAACTTTTGTAGTTCTGATAGAACTTTAATTAAATCTAACCAACAAAACAACTTTTACAAATAGTAATCATTTGCTAGACAACAATTATACATTTAAAGATTTTCAATAATTTGCTAGACGTGGCTAAACAAAATAAGTTTATTTAGTTTCTGCCAAACGCCGAGGTTTGAAACATTACTTTTTAAGGTTTTTTTCTTTTGACACTTTATGACAATATACTTTAGAAAACAACATGCTTATCATTTTAATGAGCATTAGATCATGATTGTCTTCACCAAGATCTCCGTTTGATCTGTGGCCTCGGAATACATTGCCAGCAAACATCCTTGATGCCAAAGCACATATATTATAGGCATTCATTTTAGCACAGTTGTTTGCAGCAAAATTTCTGAATTGATTAAACAAAAACTTTATAATCTTAAACACATCTGACGAGGCTCTGACTAGTTTACCCCTATTTACATGATCTGTAAAATGAGTATATGGGCTTAAGTTGTGTTCGTCATCAACCAATAGATTTATACATTCCTCACATTCTAGTTTATTTATAATTTTCCTTGTCACAAAACCACATATATAGTAGCCTACAATGCGTTGTCCTTAAATGTACTATTAGTATCCTCGCAAAAATTAATCATAAGTTCAAAGTCGTCGTCGTTGTCTGCGTCGTTGTCCTCGGTTTCATTACTTTGCAACCGCGCTGCTTCTCCAAAGCTCATGACCGAATTTTGATGGTGTTCATCAAAAACCAAACAATTCCCCTTTGCAGAAGGCTGGATACTGTTACGGAACATAAGTTTTCTCAAGGCCCACTTAAATTGCTTTACATTTGGGTTGTTATTATTTCCTCCTCTAGCTCGTAAGTTATACATGAAAATAACAACTCCAGGTGATCCTGAGAAAAATTATAAGTTAGTATCTATATATTAATTTGAAACTTTTTTTCTTTGTGACAGCTATTTTGAGAGAACGGCTGGGCGTAGAAACTCGGTAGAGGTGTCTAAAGAAAGATGTTGGTGTGTAGGAGTGAAAATTTAAAAACGTACGTTTTCAGGAAGAGCACTTTGCAAATTTTTTTCCCATTTTTTCAAAACTTTTATTATTATTTTTATTTCATTAACATTTGAAGTTTCATAAAATGTCCATGGTAACGCAATATCTTTGGTATTTTTTAAAAAAAGAGCATCTTTAGTGGAAAAACACAAAATCTTGTCACGACCATAACAGACGTTTAAATGAATATTAAAAATAGTTAATATTATTTTTATAACTATGTTTTGCTATAAACTAATTTACTTTTATGACCATTATACAATAAAAAGGTCACTGAGCTTTTAGTATATTTGGTCTTTCTAGAAAAAAATAAAAAAACTCAAAAAATTGAAAAAAAGCCAATAAAATCTTTTTAAGTTTGTATAACTCCGAAAAAACTTACCTGAGACCCGAAAAATCGATATGTTTGTGTAGAGGTGTGCTTCTTTTGTGTATAAAACATTTAAATATGACGATATTTTAATTTTTGAAATTTTTATGATAGAAATCATAAACGTGATGGTCAGGGACAAGCGGTACGGTCGTGAATTTTCTGAAATAATCTAAATCTTTCTAAACAATCCTTCAATTATACTGTTAGTTATAATAAAAATAAGTGTTTCAATTGAACTAAACTGTTCAAATTACAATTATATTAAAGTTATTGTCACGACCAAACACACTATAATCCATAAGGCTGTATTGGTCGTGAAAAAACCCGCGATGGTCGTGAAACTTTGGTCGTGAAATTACGTGTTATTTGGCTCTGTTCTGGCGGTATCCCTTCACCTCATGTTCGAGGATACAAAGTGAACTTCTAGGTTAATCTAGCAATTGAAATATCTTATAAACAAAAATTAACACCATGTCTACTTCATCGAATGACTACCTACGGTCATGGACACACCAAAATTACAAAAAACACAATCTTTCCTTTATTAATCTTGTAATTCCTCCTTTCAACTCGAAATGACCGGCACTACAATCCTGACGTACACCCCGAACTAGTCTCTAAAACCAATTGACTCCATCGACGCCAGGCTTGCCACTGTCGTGCTCCAAAGTTGAAAATTTTTCCCAAATGGTCGTGACGCCAAATCGAGGGACAGACTTATTTTGTCATGGTAGTCAGTTTGCAATGACAATAAAATTATAATATGCTCCTTTTTTGTAAGTTTAATAACCATTGATGACATAAAAGTATGGCTTTATATATTTCGGGATGAATAATTAGTCTAAAAACAGCGTGAAAGTTGGAAAATGTACCCTAGGGACACGTCATGGTCGTGAATTTCGAGACTTTGAAAATACGAAAAAAATAACTAGAACCTATTTAAAACCAAATAAATGTGTGTAACATGTTGCCCCCGTCCCAAAAAATATTAAAACACATAATAATAAACTACAAATCCAGTATCTACGAAGTAAAAGGCCAGGGACATGAAAACGTACGTTTTTAAATTTTCACTCGTAGATGAGCCATCAAAAGAGAAACATGGAGAATTCCCTCGGTGCTCTGCCCCAGTGGCCTTTAAATTCCCATCCCATGTTATTCTTATGGAGGAAAACGAGGTTTCTGTCACAGCTAATTTGAGAGAACGGCTGGGCGTAGAAACTTGGTAGGGGTGTCTAAAGAAAGGTATTGGTCTGTAGGAGAGCCCTCAAAAGAGGAACAAGGTAAATTTCCTTGGGGCTCTGCCCCAGAGGCCTTTAAAGTTCACTCTGCAATTTTGTTTACATTTCATCCATATGGATAATTTACCCTACTTTTAATGAACCAGCTGTTAATATTAAAATTGTATTCAAAGGTCTACTGAAACTGTCAAAATTAAATGTTTACATTATTATTTATGATTTAAAATGGATTCTCCACTGCATGGCAAGTTTTTTTTATAGTTTCGACAAAATGATGAATTTATGATACGTTTTAAATGTTTTGTTCAAAAATCTATGCTTTTGCTCTTAGAAAATTTTAAATTATGAAATAAGTGTGACATATTAATTTCAAAAGAACATATAACTATTCCTTATCGGGTTAGCTTATATATAAGGTCAGCACTTGCCTTTTTTCCTACTTTCAATCACCATTTATTTTTAAATTCAAGAAAGAACACCTGAGATTCATTTATTGGAATAAAAGTTTTTGATAATCGGGTTGAACATTGTGTCATAGATGAGTACGTTGAGGATGAGAGCTGTGTTCAAGTTTTGGAATAGGCTAACTACGGACTCTATGGTTTTTGGTAAAGTAGGTGAACTAATGTCAATTCAGGTATTTAAAAAAATGTGTAAACGGTTTTTACTTTGATGTACACATGTAGCTCGGTCGAACAACCCATCTAAACCTCACTACATACAAAACATTCGGAAACACAACAGTGTCA